TTTCTGCTGTACTATCCGAAGTAAACTTGATGAAAAATAGCAAAGAATGGTGAGTGGACATTGAGACCACTAGACATATATGTTCGGATAAGAAGATGTTCTCTTCATATGAAGCAATTAATGATGGAGAATAACTCTACATGGGAAATTCCTCTACTTCCAAAGTTAAAGACAAAGGAAAGATTATATTGAAGATAACTTCCGGAAAAAAACTTACTCTTAATGATTTGTTACATGTTCCAGAAATTCGAAAGAATCTTGTGTCTGGATCATTGTTGAGTAAGAAGGGTTTTAGTTTAATTTTTGAGTCCGACAAATTTGTACTCACCAAGAGTGAAATTTATGTAGGCAAGAGATATATGAGCGATGAGCTGTTTAAGATGGAATGTAATGACAATTGTATTTAATTTTAATAAAAAGAACACATCTTCTGATTATATACTTGAGTCTTCTAATATATGACATGGTAGATTAGAACATGTTAATTTTGATACTTTGCGTAAATTAATGAATTTAGAATTGTTACCTAAATTTAATATTAATGCAAATCATAAATGTGAGGCATGTGTTGAATCAAAATTAACTAGAGCATCGTTTCACAATATTGAAAGAAGTACTGAGCCTCTAGAATTAATTCATAATAATACATGTGATTTGAAATATGTTCAAACTAGAGGTAGAAAGAAATATTTTGTTACATTTATTGATGATTGCACAAAATATTGCTATGTATATTTGCTAAGGAGTAAAGACGAAGCATTGAAAAAATTTATGCACTATAAGAATGAGATTGAGAATCAACTTGGCAAAAAGATTAAGACAATAAGAAGTGATCGAGGTAGTGAATATGATGCACTTTTTGATCGGTTCTGTCAAGAACATGGTATTATTCACCAAACTTCTGCGCCTTATACACCTCAGCAAAATGGAATTGCTGAACGTAAAAATAGAACTGTAAAAGAGATGATGAATGTCATGTTGATAAGTTGGGGATTACCTTAGAACTTGTGGGGGGAGCTTTACTTTCAGCAAATTATATTTTAAATAGACTACCCCACAAGAAGTTAGACAAAACCCTTTATAAATTATGCAAAGGAAGGAGGTCTTCGTATAAATATTTAAAAGTGTGGGGGGGTGTTTGGCTAAGCTGATGATTCTTATTCCTAAAAGGATTAAAATAGGACCTAAGACTATTGATTATATATTTATTGGTTATGCAATAAATAACAGTACATATCTTTTTCTCGTGCATAAATCTGATATTCCTGATATACATATCGATACAATCATTGAATCAAGAAATTCATCATTCTTTGAAAATGTCTTTCCAAATAAAAATGCATGTAATGAGAGTTTTCTTAAACGAACTCTTGATACTGCGACTAATAATATGGACACTGAGTCTATAAATGAAGAAAATGAAGAAGCACTTAGACGTAGTAAAAGGGTAAGGACTTCCAAGTCTTATGGTCCTGATTTTCTAACTTATTTGTTAGAAAATGAGCCTCAAAGTTTCAATGAAGCAATATCCATTCCTAAAGCACCTATGTGAAAAGAAACTGTAAACAATGAAATTGAATCCATCATACAAAATCACACCTGGGAGTTGGTAAATCTTTCTCCAAGGAGTAAGCCATTGGGATGTAAATGAATTTTCAAGACGAAAATGAAAACTGATGGATCAATTGATAGGTACAAGGCTAGACTTGTAGCTAAAGGTTACAAACAAAAAGAAAGTCTTGATTACTTTGATACATATTCTCCCGTTACAAAAATAACATCTATTCTTATGCTCCTAGCTATTGCACCATTACATAATCTTGAGATACACCAAATGGATGTGAAAACTGCTTTCCTAAATGGTGACTTAAATGAGAAAATTTATATGAAACAACCCGAATGATTTGTTTTTCCGGGACAAGAGAAAAAGGTGTGTAGACTTGTTAAATCACTTTATAGTTTAAAGCAAGCCCCAAAATAATGGCATGAGAAATTTGACAAGATTATGATGTCAAATGATTTCACAATTAATAAATGTGATAAATGTGTCTATGTCAAATACACAAATAATGGATATGTCATTGTTTGTCTATATGTGGATGATATGCTCATTTTAGGTAGTAATGATAATATTATTACAACTACCAAGAAAATGTTGTCTAATAAGTTTGACATGAAGGATTTGGGTGTTGTAGATGTTATACTAGGAATTAAAATTTTTAGAACATCTGATGGACTTATATTATCTCAATCCTATTATATTGAGAAAATACTTGAGAAGTTCGATAAAAATGAAAGTAGTATTACTAGAACACCAGTGAATATAAATCTTCATTTGTCTAAAAATACTGGTCAAAGCATATCACAATTGAAATACTCTCGTATCATTGGTAGTCTAATGTATGTCATGAAATGCACTAGATCGGATATAGCATACTCAGTTAATAAATTGAGTAGACATACAAGTAATCTGAGAGTAAACCATTGGAAGACAATTATCAGGGTTCTTAGATACTTAAGATATACCTTGAATTTTGGGCTGCACTATACAAGATATCCACCTGTACTTGAAGGGTATAGTGATGCAAATTGAATATCTGATATGAAGGATACAAAATTCACAAGTGGTTACATTTTTACACTTGGTGGTGCAGCTGTATCTTGAAAATCCTCTAAGCAAACGTGTATTGTCAAATCCATAGTAGAATCTAAATTTATTGCTTTAGATAAAGCAGGAGAGGAAGCTAAGTGACTTCGCCAATTTCTAGAGGATATTCCAATATGGCCTAAACCTGTGCTAGCAATATGTATACATTGCGATAACCAATCTGCAATTGGTAGGACACAAAGTGACATGTATAATGGTAAGTCTAAACATATACGTCGTAGACATAATACTGTTAGGCAATTGCTCTCAAATGGGATTATTTTCATTGTTTATATAAAGTCAAAGGATAATCTAGCGGATCCGCTTACTAAAGGTTTGACGAGAGAACAAGTAAATTGCACATCGAGGGGAATGAGATTAAAGCCTATGACACAAGAATCACCTTAATGGCAACCCAACCTAGTTGACTGGAGATCTCAAGATTTAGGTTCAAAGGGACAACCGAATTATGTGTGATTCAAAAGAAGCACTAATGAGATAATCTCTCCTACCTATTCCTATGATAAACTAGCCTGCAGAGATTATTAAGGTAAGCTATGTTTTTAATGACTCTTATACTTTGAAAAATTCAAGTGGGATATTGCAGGATATTCCTAATAGGAGTCACCTATATGGATGTGAAGGGGCCGCTTCTGTGAGAATTTGTAAAAGTTGAATTCTCTAAAGCACTCATGAAAACCAGGAGTTGTTCAGGGCCAAAATGAACACAATCATAAGAACCAATTGTGTTAGGAAAGAGACTGTGTGAAGTCTATTGGATCTGATTTATCAAACAGCTGAATAGTTCAAGATATCACGTTCACTATTTAGCCGGTAAGTTCGATGGGCTTTCACTAGGGAAGGTTCAAGGTCAAAAACTACCTATCTCGATGCACGATCTTTCCAAAGAAGTACTATCTATAGTGTGTCAGTATTATCATTTGCATACTAACAGCCAATTTTTCATTCATGTGGGGGATTGTTAAACCAAAAATAGTTTTTTAGTGTAAAAAACCAGAATTTTTGGTCAACTTTGAGCCTAAATTAAAGTGGAACCCATTAGTTATTTCGAATAAATTTTCGTAGGTTCATATTCTACTCCGTCAGGAGTATAACGTGGAATATTCACTTGCTCAAATCGAGTAAGAAATGAATGAAAAAATAAGTTTCAAAGTGACCCTCATGAAGAGTGAAAATAAAAGATGTGCAATGTGAAATTTGACATCAATCCCACATTAGTTGAGTAAGAAAATTCAATATGGGCATAATAGCTCAAGTTTGCTTTATGGGTTGGGCCCCAAAGGGTACCACAATTTTATGAGCGGAGCGAGCACCTACATGCTGTTGGGTCCGCCACACACGCGGGCGCCGCCCGCCCTCCTCGCCACGACCCGACCCGGTCGGGCCGGGCTCGGGTATAGTGTGGTCAAGCCCTATCTTTTTGAAGAAAATTCATTTAATTAATTAGGCATGAATTTCTTAACCCAAAATTAATTTTGGTATCCATTGGATAATTCGGATTCGGATTTGCTCCAATCCGAAATTTTCAAGATGTGACTGTTCATGAAAAACAGTTATTCAAGGTGTCCGCTGGCTGGGTCGATTTTTGGTTCTGGGTTGTGTCCTTTAGTGAGGTGTCTGTCCGGACAGTCACCAAACTATCTATAAATACCCAGTGCATGCATTCATTTTATTCATTCAATTTATCAGTCCATTAAGGCATTAAACAGTCAGCATTAAGGCATTTAAGACAGTACGTTTAGAGAGTACACGATACAAGTTTTGGTTCGTTGTACGAACAGATTGAAGTGCTATTTCTGTTCGTGGACAATCATTGTATCATGGGAGGCAAACGCTCAGATTCCATAAGCACCGTGTGTAAGGGCGAAATCTGTCTTAAGGACAGAGTGTCAAACACTAGCCTTGATCTAGAACGAGTTCAATAACAGTTCCTGTTCTGCAACCGGATTAGTTTTTACATTAATTTGGCATAGAGTTACGTGTATCTGTTTGTTATAACTCTTTCGTGTTTCATAAGCCTATTGTAATTTTTTTGGTTCTGTGTAACTGTTACTGTAACTGTTTTGATTTGTGTTACAATTCTACAGTTCACATTTACTGTTTGTTTTATTTTAAGTTACATGATATCAGAAATATCAATAAGTGATTTTACAATTTTGAAACACCACAAACAACAGGAACTTAATGTTGGGCTTAGGAAATTGGTGGTTTCAATTAAATTTTGCCACATAAAATTTATTCTTAATCGGGAGTAGTCACATTAGCCAAGTGTTCTATTGTTATTATACTACAAGGTGGATTCGAGAATTTAAACAGCTTCAAAAAAACCTATGAACTGGCTACTTTTTGCATCATAGCAAGAGAAAATATTTGGAAGCATACAACACACATACCTTGATGCCAAAAGGCAGCAACCAACCCAGGACAACCCCAAGGGGGACACCCACAAAGTTGTAGGAACCTACATTTATGAATGCCACCATTGCTTGCCAACCAGACCCAACTGCTACCCCTGAGAATAGCACATGCGTGAATAATGGTATCATAGGATTTGCATTTGATTGCTAAAATTAGATGCTTTATAATATTTTCACCTGAAAGAACTGGTTGAATGCAATTGAGAAGAATAGTTGATGCCAATAAGACTGCTAGTTCATCGACCATTGCAATAACCGAAATGCTTGATGAGAAGATCATAGCTAGCTTGTCAGGGAGGGCTATAATCATTGAACAGAAGAAAATGCCCACTACTAGAGAGGTTAACACTGAAACTGTGGTGGCAAATTTGGCACCCTTTGCATTGCCTGCTCCAAGCTCATTTGCTACACGTCCTCTGTTCTCACCCAACGTTACATATTCAGAATTTTCCTTCCGCAGCATATGCATGGCAAAAAAATGATAAAGATGAAAAGGTGTACAAACTACACAACCACCTTGCCTATCATTGCAATTATGGGCTCGAAAACTCAATCCTTGGTAATTCAATCTATTGACCATAGACAGAAAATACTACAGATAAACTAAAACCCTATTGAAAGATCTGGCAACTGCTTAGTTGACATCACATAAACAAATACAACCATGCAAGAATATATCCAAATTCCAAACCCAACCCTCATAACAATATATTAAAAAAGAATATCAAACACAACTTGTTTAAACTAATTGCAGTCTTACCAAACGTAGCTTCAATATTGGGGAAAAGTGTAGTTCGTTTTTGGCAGAAACTGAGAGGTTATGCCAACAATTCAAATCAGTTTGTGTCATTACATGTAGATTTTTATCTAATTGTTTTGCCCACCAGACCAAATGTGTGCTGTTATATATTGCCAGACCTAACATTTAATTATATGAGCAATGTCAGACATGTTCAGCTACTCATCCTTTGCCATCTACACCCACCTTCAGCTTTTAAGTGATAATGCAATGCTTAACTTCCATTCTTGTTTGGGCCAGTAAAATTTACGCTAAAAACAGAAGATTGCTGCAAAGTAGTTATATTGAAAGTTTGCAATTTACATATTGGTTTCTTCCTACCTGACCAAAGATCTATAAACTTTCTAGTTTCTACCCTACATGCTGTTCAAAAATACCAAAACTAAGGCTTTACGAGGTTTCAAATATTCACCAAAGTTCCAAATTAATTAATGGGAACTTGCCACTTTAGCCAATTTCAACGATTCACCTTATGATACACAAATCTAGGTTTTGTTTGACATAATATATCAGTGCTTCAAACGTCTAGAAATAATCATAATTTGAATCGAAGCCAGAAATGGTAAACGAAATTTCAGGAGTTGAAGATTACTAACAGATTCAATGTAGCGTAAAAAAAATAAGGTCAAAGACCATTTTTTTTGTCTCTTTATTAATTTCTTTTTAAAGATTATTTGCCTAAAAATGGTAAATCAGTTTATGTATGAAAACACAAAACATACTTTCCCTGTCATTTTGCATTTAAGACCATATTTATCACAAAAAGCTCTAGAGCATCCAAAAGGAGTATGTGGATGGTGTTGGCCATCAGCAAATATGATCTATGATATAGTTAGCGTATAATTCAACATCCATGCAAAAGATGTCATTCCATGTCTCCATTAGCATTTGAGAAAACCTCCCCCAAACATAATGCATATTTCTACAAATGAATGTTTGATTCAGAAACGAAAAGTTCAACAGGTCAGCCAACTCAAGTCAACCAGTCCTACACCAACTATTTTGGTTTTGAATTTGGACAATTACATAGTATTGGTACTTGGAAATACGATTCATACACATAAATTTGTCATATTTCCACATTTCTATCTCTTGATGAGGATCAGAAAAATATGAGTTTTAAAATACTCAAAACTTTTGAATTACATTGATTTCCATTTCAACCAATTCTAATGTGCCAATATTATCTACGAAATTCCACAATCCTAGGTACATATAAGCACTGGATGTTTTCAATGTTCATTTCCAGCAATGTATTCCATGTATGAAGCCAATTTAGGTGTCTCTTAGTTTGTCTGGAAATCACATAGTTACATATATGATATAAGTAGGAAGTCATGCAACATGAGTGGCGGATTAAAAGCTCCTAGCAAAGAGACTGTGTGGCGTAGTTGTTGATCAATGGGATAATAATAATGTTTTGTAGAAATTGCACCCATCTTTCAGCACAAAGGATATTGCCTTATGAAACTACTCGTGACCAGACTCAAACATGAAAAACTAAATATGCTCATGATGCCCTAGGATTTGAAAATTGGACTCAATATTCTCCACACACGTCGCAATTTGCTTCCCAAATCCCCTACTCTCTTTCCATTTTATATTTTGTAAGTTCAAATTTCATCTTTGCACTAAAGATGTGGAGGAGAGAAAGGCACTTACAAACATCAACCTACCCTGTGGCAGCAAAAAATCCAAGTGGAATCATGGATTCCCATCCAAAGAAAGTGATGCCGTCAAACAAGGACGAAATTAAAGTGAGCAGGCAAAAAAGGAGTCTGTTAGATGGTCTAAAGGTCAATTAATAAACTGGGGTAAAAAGCACTTTGCACCCCAAAGATTTAAGAATTTTTACTTTGTATACTCAGATTATATTTTCCAGAACACAAACTTAATGTATTAATAGTGTTGCAATGTGATGTTGCTCGTTTTATCACTGTCAATGGATGGTTTTTGAGGAAATGAGCAACGGAACCTCACGGTCACGGAAAGGCTAAACTATAATAAGGGTATAATGTGAAAAATCTAATTTTGAGGGTATAAAATGGGAATTCTTAAATTTTTTGGGGTGCAAAGTATGATTCTCCCAATAGACCGAAGGACTCGGAGCCAACCAGATGGACAGGGCATCAACTGCAACTTCAGTGTTCTTCATATACCCGGAGACTATCATCAACACTCTATAATAAAAATTTTCCAACCTGCAATGTTTCAAATATATACTCTCAATTAAAATTAGCAAAAATATGCGAGAGAGAGAGAGAGAGAGAGAGAACACATACGAGAGCATGACCCCAGAAGCCACAGAGAGTTTAAAGAACTCCCACAGCCCCATAAACGCTTGATTAGAGAAACCAGACCAAGGATGAGGACACCCGCCACAAATAATGTACCCAAACAATCCCAAGACTGACACCCACCGAAATCAAGAGTCAAAGCAGTCCCAACAATCCCAACCATCAACTTATAAACAAAAAGCCAACTAACAAACACATGGAGCGCAAGTGCAACACCGGAGGTCCAAGCAAAAACAGCGGTCTTGAGCTGGCACTGCAGGAACCTTATCAACGTGAACTGAAACGCAAAGCTCAAGTGCATCGGAATCAACCACATCGCCACCAGACCCGACAGCTCCGCCACCGCGGTTGACTGTCCAGTGACCTTCAGTATTGGCGTTGCGAACAAAAAAAGTGGCAACATCAAAATAGAGCTGAGAAACAGCACAACCCATGAGCGTTGCATGTAAATACCCATCATATGGTACTGTTCTGCCCCATAAGCTTGGCCACATAGCGTCTCGAGCGCATTTGCCATACCCAACTACTAATACAAACAAAGAAAAAACAAGGGAAAGAGCATGTAAACGAAAAATTATATCTTTGAAATACCAAATTGATGATTTTGGTTTGAGAGAGAAAGCTGAAAGTTCAAAAATATGGTTTACCAAGAAGCCGAAGCTGATGGAGATGATAACAGTGGTGACGATGGAGATGGCGGCGAGGTCGCGGTCACTCAGGTGGCCGGCGAATGATTGTGTTATGACGGTGAGGGAGAACATGGCAAGGCGGCTGAAGATGGATGGGCCTGCGATTTGCCATATCTTTTTCGATTCCAACAATGTCCGTCTGATTAAAGACTCGTCTTCTTCATCTGGAATTGACACTAAAAGAGGTTGATGGCCATCATCTTCTTCTTGTTCTTCTCTCATTCCCATAGACGCCCAATTTTTGGGTCCAATGAACACTGGTTTGGGCAAGTTAGCAAAGGATATGGGTGAAGTTGGGGCAATTCAAGTAGATCCGAGAGGGCATTTATTACCTAGGGGAAATTGCAATAACTTCCCTCAGGCTTTACTAATAATCACATTGTACCCTAATACTTTTCAAAATTGTATGACATTTTTACCTTCAAACAAACTTGCATTGAAAAACCAAGATTTGTAGCTAAAGACCACCAAACTTTATTTCTACACATAAATAAAATGACAAACTAAAGCTTTAATTTTTAGCATAGAATTCATTTGAAAAATTTCTATGTTAAGTTCATTACGAGTTTTATGAGAACAACAATGTCGAATACCCTCATTACGAGTTTTATGAGAACAACAATGTCGAATACTGCTATCACAATCTTTACTTTCTTGAACAGGAAGTGGTTACTCATGTTAATTTTGTTATAAGAAATTTGTTTTTAGTTGAACTCATTAACAAACAATTTATAAACACAATAAATAATTAAAACAATCAAATGAATACAAATAATCGATGCAAGTCACAACATTGTAGAGAAAACATACAAAAGATATCAATTTAAATTTCATATAGAATAAGCAAAAAACTTAATGGGTGGTAGTAAGAAAACTCTTAATTATATTTTTTCAGAAAGGTATTTTTTTCTCAATAGCCTTATTTCAGTTTGACTCTAAAATGATAAGTAGAAAGAATATGCATGATGCCGACATAACTTTTGTACTCCGAAAATTGTAGAACACAAGATGTGTCACATTGCAAGGATATTGAAACTTGGCCTCACCTCTCAGTAGAAAAATCAGTAACAAATTGAGACGAAGAGGGAATAAAAAGAAGGAAGACCAAATAGAGGGGATGAAGTCATCAAAGAGACACTCAAGAGTCGTTATGTCTGTTGGCAAGGAAACAGAATCATTCCTTCACTTGGGGGGCAATTCATTAGGCCATGGCCCCTCTGCACCTCCACTTACCCTTACATATATGATAAGTATTAGACAGAGTTCTGTCTTGTGTAGAGTAATTGGGCCTCCTCCTCCTTGCGTAGCTGTTGGTATTCTCATAGGAGGTGGTCTTCTAACTACTCATTCAATAAAATATTCTCAAACCAGTTAAGTGGTATATTTTTTGTTGTGATCCATTTCAACTCTTTTATTTAAATATTTTGGTTGTATGAAGCAGACCCAAACGAATTCACCTTGCTGTCTTGCTTTCCAAGTTCTTAGTAGTGAATTTTTTTGAAATTTAGATATTATAAGGTTTTGCAATATCCATATCCATGTGTTGATATGTGCATTATGGTTGGCTACAATTTACATCATTGGACTGAGTTTTTGTATATGTTTTGGCCCCCCAAGGTTGAAATTCTGGCTCGTTAGGAAGCACCACCCACCATTGAACAGCCACTACATCAAAATACTACTAAACAACCCACCTCACACTCTCTCGAGCCATGCCCACTGTGCCACTCACCACCAAAGCTTGGGCGCCCCAACCAAACCCATCACCCGCTGGGGTCCTCGTCTTCCACAAAGACTACTCTCTAGGCCTTCATGTTCCCAATTTTTAACACCAATGCCTGCGGAATTCATCCCTCAAGTTTTCCTTACTGGTGAGCTGGAAACCTATATTAGGAATTAAATATAAATAATTTTTACTATATCTCTATGACATTATAGAATTCAAGTTGAAAATCCCCACTAATTAGGATAAGATATTTTTCGAGTGGAGTTGAGTTGAGTTGTAGACCTCATTCCAAGGTATTTCCAGAACACAGATTTAATAGCAATTATTCTTTTATACAGTCCACGACAAATTAAATACATTTATGAAACACGGATACGGATATGAGTATGATACAATACAGATACGACGATACAACAAAATCTAAAAAAGTAGGATACAAGTACCGTCAGGATATGACTATAATAAAATATTTTTATTATTTTCAACCAACTTAACACTTATATATTTTAGTAGTTTTTTAACATATAATAAGGAAAATTAGTAATTCTTTTTAATTTTTAGAAAATATATATCGTGTCGTTGTGGTATATTTACAAAGTGAAGTGACTAATTAAAAGAATCAAAACTAATATTTACCTAGTATTTAGAAGTAATTTTGTCAAGATTATAATATAATAACTTTACTATATGATCTTTTGATATATAATTGTAGATAATACTTAAAAAACATTCATGTTTCTTTGAAGTAATGTGAAATTTTTGTTAATGTATTATATGGTAAGTGAATTCGAAAATGAATATTAAAAATTCAACAAAAAAATTATATATATTGTCCTACTATAAAAGTACATAGTCTCGCACTTAATAGACATTCATGCACTCCTCTAGGGGCATGTTTGTTTGAGGGATTAAATTGGATGGTATAAGAAGTGAAAATTAGTACCGGTAATATAAAGTATTACAATCTTCTCTCATGTTTGTTTGATCAATAGGTATTATAGTGGATTCCACAAACAACCATCTATTCTATCATATCTTATATAACAAATATACCATTTTACCTTTAACATCATCCATACCTTACTCTGTTTGTGTAATGCTTTTACACAATATTTGGTATAATACATAATATAACAATCTATACCTAAAAAATTATGAATAATGTAAAAAATCCATATAAAAAATAAAGAATCTGATGTTATGAATCGATGATACCGTAAGAACAATTTTTTAAAAAAAATTGGTGATATTGTATACTTAAACATAATATAAAGAAAAAATTCAAAATAATTTTTTTTAAAAATTAAAAAAAAAACGGTAATACTGTACGGTTAAACATAATACAGGGAAAAAATTTTAAATAATTTTTAAAAAAAATTTAAATAACTTTTAAAAAAAATTTAAAAAAACAGTAATACCGTAAGCTTAAATATAATATAAGGAAAATATTTTTAAAAAAAAATTAAATTTTTTTTTTTAAAAACTTGGTAACATCATACGCTTAAACATAATACAAAAAAAATTAAAATAATTTTTTTTAAAAAAATCGATAACATCGTACGCTTAAACATAATAATATAAGGAAAAAAATTCAAAATAATTTCTTTAAAAACAAATAAAAAAAATCAGTGACACCGTACGCTTAACATAATACAGAGTAAAAATTCAAAATAAATTTTTTATATGTAAACTCTTAACAGATGAGGACATTTGTGTCATTTTATTCTCTTATACCGTCCTTCCATTTGTACCAGAAAGATAATATCATCAGGTAGGTGATATTAATACCATATATAAGGCATTTAGGACACTATTCAAACCGGATTAATATAACGACCTAAAAAATAATACTAGATATAAAATGTTAAACAAACAAAGTATAAAGTTGGGCTCACGTACTATTTCCTTCTATCCCACATTATAATTTCATCTAATCCTTCTACGAAACATGCCCTAGAGGTTTAACCTTTTTAGAGGTAGTGGGTGTATAAAAAACGAAATATTTTTTCTTAACTATGCTCATTCAAAAAAAAAAGAAAAAAGAAAGGTAAATATACGAGCTTAGTTAAACCTACGTCGGTCATCGAATCAGAGGTCTATAAAATGTGTTAGTTGTGTGATTGGGGAATGATATTTAGCAATATGCACAAAACTAGTGCAGAAGAAGCTGCACATGATAATGATTGAACTAGTACCGTAGCTTCGCCAATCTGTATTGGCAATTCAGACAACTCGGGGTTGACTTGGAAATGCCTCAAACGAATTTCATAAGATTCATAATTTACACAAAACCTATAATAGCACTGTAACAAAAAGTGCCGAGTCAAATATGATTAATTAAAATCATATCAATACCAACTGGTATATCACACATGGTATCATTAACTGATGAACCAAACGAAGGGAGGGAGGATCTGACAAGTCTACACAGACACTAATATGTGTATAGATAAAATTATAACATTTGTGTGTTGCAGACGCTAATCTCTGTTTAATTAGAACTAAGCTTGTTGCTGCCTGTCCAACAACTTTGCCACTATTTTCAAACAAACTGAAGTTGCCTCGGGCAAGAGGCTGTTGAAAGTGTTGGTTACTCATCACATGGTATTGCTGAAGAAGAAATTGAATTTATCATCCTTGACGATTGACTTGATTGTTTATCGTAACAAAAAATTTTGAAACTTATTGTGGAGCTTTGTAATTAGTTGTATGTCCAGAGTTAGTATGCAATTCTCCATAGGCCATTTTTTGGTAATTGGGTAAGAATGCTTGATGTGGTGTAGAAAATGTTCAGCTCTATGTAGTTTAGTTGTGCAAAAATTGAGACCATGTTGCCTTCATTTTGTTTGTTTTTTTAGGGCAACAGTTAATAAGAATTCTAATTATCTAATTTTTGTTTTTACAAATTCTGAACTTTTCTTGAATTCTTTGAATTCATAAACTGCAAATGTTATATTATAATTAAGGGTGTCAAATGTGCGGATTAAACAGGTGACGGATGAAAATCATGTAAATCTATACACGACCTGTTTAATAAACAGGTGAAAAACGTCAACACAAACCGTTTAATAAATAGGTAACACGATACGACTCATTTAATTCGTTTAATTTTAATTTATTATTATATTTTTTGTGACTATCACTAAATTTTAAAAAAAATAATGTGGCTATCACTATATATATATATATATATATATATATATATATATATATATATATATATATATATATATATATATATATATATATATATATATATATATATTGTGGATGTCATTAAAAAAAATCTGTCTAATTTTTTAAAATAATTATTAATTTATTATTATATTAATTTATTTAAACGGGTGATAAATGAGTTGATAGAACATACCCGAACACGACCCGTTTATTAAATGTGTTAGACAGCTCAACCCGTTTACCACTCAAACCCGTTAAGGTCTCATCTAAACCTACTTAATTCGTGTCAATTCGTTTCGATTAATCGTTTCGTATCAGACTTTGA